TAGTGGGGACATTTTAATATACGCTGTATAGGGGGACAACCCAATATTTTAGTTGGGACATTTTAATATATGCTGTAAAGGGGGCTAAACTAATACTTTAGTGGGGACATTTTAATATACGCTGTATAGGGGGACAACCTAATATTTCATTAGGGACATTTTAATATACGCTGTTTAGGGGGACAACCCAATATTTCAGTCGGGACATTTTAATATACACTGCATAGGGGGACAACCCAATACTATAGTGGGGACATTTTAATGTACGCTGTATAGGGGGGACAACGCAATATTATAGTGGGGACATATCAGACAACCCAATATTATAGTGGGGACATTTTAATGTACGCTGTATAGGGGGGACAACGCAATATTATAGTGGGGACATATCAGACAACCCAATATTATAGTGGGGACATTTTAATGTACGCTGTATAGGGGGGGGGGACAACCCAATATTTTAGTGGGGACAATTTTAATATATGCAGTATAGGGGGACAACGCAATATTTTTGTGGGGACATTTTAATATACGCTGTATAGGGGGACAACCTTAATATTTCATTGGGGACATTTTAATATACGCTGTTTAGGGGGACAACCCAATATTTCAGTCGGGACATTTTTAATATACACTGCATAGGGGGACAATCCAATATTATAGTGCTGATTTTTTTTTTAAATGTTGATACATGTTATATTACAGTGGTTATTCATTGTATAAAAATATCACCCATGGCCATTGTACGCTACTGTACACTGCTACCTGTATAGGGGGACAACCCAATATTTTAGCAGGGATAATCCTGGGATTTTTGTTGATGAGATAAAAAATCTCCATCTCCTTAAAGCAATGAGATATTATCTCATTCTGCTGGTGCAGCCAGCAGCCGAGGAGCGTAGCAATGAGGCAGTGCAGTGGAGAATCCTGCATTCTGAGCATATTTCAGTTAATTATTTATACTTAAGACATTGCATATAATATCACATCTTTTGAAATTAATTTTAAAACTTTTGAAAAATCACCAATGCATGCATATCTTAATATCATTTTGCTGTACAACTTTACTTTCTTAAACAAGAGGCCCACAGGGCCTGTATCGCTCACCTGGACATTTTAGCAAAATTGAAGACGAATTAACCAGATGTTACTGTACATGTATTTCATGGTTAGTCAGGGGTTATATTTATATGCAATTGGACAAATTCCTGTTATTCCTACAGGAAAAGGAGGATTTTGAAGAATTTGCTATGTTTCCACTATAAGGCCCTGTCCCTGTGCCCCCAGGGGGTTAATCTCAAAGTTAATACAAAATTGGTTCCCCTTCACCCAAGCGTGCTTCTTCCCAAATTTGGACAAAATCCTGTCATTCCTACAAAAGAAGAAGTATTTTGAAGAATTTGCTATGTTTCCCTTATTGGGCCCCACCCCTCTGCCCCAGGTGTCAGACCCAACGTTTATACAAAATATAGACCCCTTCACCAAAGGATGCTTTAGACCAAATATGGAAAAAATCCTGGCATTTCTACAGAAGAAGAATTTTAAAGAATTTGCTGAATTAACCCTTTTGGGCCCCACTTCTCAGGCCCCAGGGGGGTCAGATTCACCATTTATACAAAATTGATTTCCCTTCCCTATAGGATGCTACTGTTTAAATTTGGTCATAATACCTTCCTCCAAATGGAAGACAAGATGCCCAGAGGGCCTGTATTGCTCACCTGAGTATGTTTAAAATAATTGGTATGAAATAAAGATATAGCACTCCATGGTAGGTGCTGCAAGTACCGGTACATATGAAATTTCAGAAAGATCCATCCAGTACTTGAGATATAGCGAGAACACACTTCAAACAGAGCCCCACCCCTATGTCCCTAGGGGGGTCATACCCACCAATTATACAAGGTCCAAGGATGCTCCAGACTAAATATATATGGATAGAAGGATTTTAAAGGTTTTACCTCTATTTCTCCTATTGGGCCCCACCCTTCTGCCCCCTGGGAGACCACACCTACTGCTTATACACAATTGAGTCCACTTGGCCGAAGGATGCTCCAGACTATATTAGGATAAAATCCCTTAATCCCTATGATAGAAGAAGGATTTTAAAGGTTTTACCTCTATTTCCCCTATTGTGCCCCGACTCTTTGCCTCAAGAGGGGTTGCGTTAGACACACTGTTTATACAAAATTGGTTCCCCTTCACCCAATGATGCTTTATACCAAATTTGGACAAAATCCTGTCATTCGTACAGAAGAAGTAGGTATTTGAAGAATTTGCTATATTTCCCCAATTGGGCCCCTCCCTTCTGCCCCCATGGGGGCCACACTCGCTGTTTGTACGAAATTGAGTCCCTTTTGTCCAAGGATGCTCAAGACTAAATTAGGATAAAATCACTTAATCCATATGGTAGAAAAAGGATTATAAAGGTTTTACTTCTATTTCCCCTATTGGGCCGGGCCACCCCTCAGCCCCCAGGGGCGCCACACCCACGGTTTATACAAAATTGGTTTCCCTTCACCCAAGGATGCTCTAAACCAAATATGGAACAAATCCTTCCATTCCTACAGAAGAAGAAGAAGGATATTAAAGAATTTGCTATATTTCCCCTATTTGGCCCCACCCCTCAGCCCCCAGGGGCGCCACACCCACCGTTTATACAAAATTGGTTCCCCTTCACCCAAGGATGCTCCAAACCAAATATTGAACAAATCCTTTCATTCCTACAGAAGAAGAAGGATATTAAAGAGTTTGCTATATTTCCCCTATTGGGCCCCATCCCTCAGCCCCCAGGGGCGCCAATATAGAAATATAGCAAATTCTTTAATATCCTTCTTCTTCTGTAGGAATGAAAGGATTTTTTTTTTACTTTTCATAAGAAATGGCTTTAAATACGCCCTGAATTATACAATGTTGTTGTGAGTTCTTATGATTGTTACCATGTCAGTAATATCGCAGAAAAGTTTGTGGTGTGAAATATATTTACTAGATAGGTAGATTAGTGAAGCTAAGTGTACCTATAGATATTGGGGTGGACCATGACTTCACAACCAAACTCCAGTCATTTCATGTAGACTTACAGCAGACTATACAGATACAGGCCATTCTGCAGGCAATGCCTCACAGTATGTCATTTTGTACTTCCATAGTTTACGCTAAAGGTTTTTAATTTGTTACCGTGCAAGAGATTAAATTTAATAGCTAAGAATTGACAACAAAAAACTACCTGTGGATTCGTCTGATTTAGTCTTATTATTGCTTTTGGGCGCATCTTTTCCAATAGGTTTCCGGGCACGCACAGCAGGTTTTGTGTCTGTGCTGTAGGCACAAGGGAAGATTTGTTTTTTTTCTCTGGTTTCTGACGTTTCGGACGGATTGGGTAAACATGTAGCACCACCAGAAGGGACGGGATTTACTGCTAAGGAATGTAGCACCTTATCTACACAAAAAGAAATGACAGCAGGCTACAAGATTAAATGAAAAGAAAACACAACATATAAAGCAAATATAGGACATGACCTTGAAATCTGATGTGAGCTTTATACCAGGAAATGTCATATTAGCAGTAGTACAACAAGCAATTGAACAAATATTCAACAGGAAACCTTTTTACCAAGAGATTTCAGATCTGTAATTTCCATATAAACATAAACTGAATAATACCGAATATCTCGAGTATTCTAAGCTCATATCAGCTTTCAAAATCATTCACATTAAAATGTACAACCACAACAAGGTAGTGTATGGTCACTTTAAACACAGTACTGTACTCCACATTACATAACATTTTGATCAATAAATATCACATGATAGTGTTGTACCCTATAACCACTGTATATACCTTGACAGGGTCGACAAAGCTAGTCTAAAACTCGAAAGCTTTGTACCCAATAACCATTATATATACATTGACAGGGTCGACAAAGCTAGTCTAAAGCTTGAAAGCTTTGTACCCAAAAACCACTGTATATATCTTGACAGAGTCGACAAAGCTAGTCTAAAGCTGGAAAGGTTTGTACCCAATAACCACTGTATATACATTGACAGGGTCGACACAGCTAATCTAAAGCTTGAAAGCTTTGTACCCAATAACCACTGTATATACCTTGACAGGGTCGACAAAGCTAGTCTAAAGCTCAAAAGCTTTGTACCCAATAACCATTGTATATACCTTGACAGGGTCGATAAAGCTAATCTAGAACTCGAAAGCTTAAATTTGTACCAAATAACCATTGAATATACCTTGACAGGGTCGACAAAGCTAGTCTAGAGCTTGAAAGCTTTGTACCCAATATCCAATGTATATACCTTGACAAGGTCGACACAGCTAGTCTAGAGCTGGAAAGCTTTGTACCAAATAACCACTGTATATACCTTGACAAGGTCGACACAGCTAGTCTAGAGCTGGAAAGCTTTGTACCCAATAACCAATGTATATACCTTGACAGGGTCGACACAGCTAGTCAAGAGCTGGAAAGCTTTGTACCCAATAACCAATGTATATACCTTGACAGGGTCGACAAAGCTCTTCTAGAGCTGGAAAGCTTTGTACCCAATAACCACTGTATATACCTTGACTGGGTCGACAAAGCTCGTCTAGAGCTGGAAAGCTTTGTACCCAATAACCACTGTATATACCTTGACAGGGTCGACACAGCTAGTCTAGAGCTGGCAAGCTTTGTACCCAATAACCACTGTATATACCTTGACAGGGTCGACAAAGCTAGTCTGGAGCTCGAAAGCTTTTTACCCAATCACCACTGTATATACCTTGACAGGGTCGACAAAGCTTGTCTAGAGCTGGAAAGCTTTGTACCCAATAACCAATGTATATACCTTGACAGGGTCGACAAAGCCAGTCTAAAGCTGGAAAGCTTTGTACCCAATAACCACTGTATATATCTTGACAGAGTCGACAAAGGTAGTCTAGAGCTTGAAAGCTTTGTACCCAATAACAATTGTATATTCCTTGACAGGGTCGACAAAGCCAGTCTAAAGCTGGAAAGCTTTGTACCCAATAACACTTGTATATTCCTTGACAGGGTCGACAAAGCTAGTCTAGAGCTGGAAAGCTTTGTACCCAATAACCAATGTATATACCTTGACAGGATCGACAAAGCCAGTCTAAAGCTGGAAAGCTTTGTACCCAATAACAATTGTATATTCCTTGACAGGGTCGACAAAGCTAGTCTAGAGCTGGAAAGCTTTAATTGTACCCAATAACCACTGTATATACCTTGACAGGGTCCACAAAGGTAGTCTAGAGCTGGAAAGCTTTGTACCCAATAACCACTGTATATACCTTGACAGAGTCGACAAAGGTAGTCAATAGCTCGAAACTGGTAACTTGTGACAACACTAGTTTTGTGTGTGATTTATGGTAACTTGTGACAACACTAGTTTTGTGTGTGATTTATGGTAACATGTGACAACACTAGTTTTGTGTGTGATTTTGGTAACCTGTGACAACAAGTTTTGTGTGTGATTTATGGTAACATGTGACAACACTAGTTTTGTGTGTTATTTATGGTAACATGTGACAACACTAGTTTTGTGTGTGATTTTGGTAACCTGTGACAACAAGTTTTGTGTGTGATTTATGGTAACATGTGACAACACTAGTTTTGTGTGTGATTTATGGTAACCTGTGACAATACTAGTTTTGTGTATTATTTACAGTAATTTGTGACAACACTAGTTTCACATTACATACTGATCATATATTGAAATACTGTATAGAATAACCTTTTACTATATGTGCCTCATTCAATTTCAATAACAAGAAAAAGATTTTCCCGAAATATGTATCAAAGATATATTGAATGTATGTTTCATGTAGAAAAACAAAAACAAAAAAAGTGTAAAAAAATAATAATAATAATCAAAACTTCATTGTAAATAACAACAACTTCACTGCAAAAAATGGTGAAATGCCAATTATATTGTGTACATGCAACCTGCTCATATATCTTGATTCATTTGGTGAATAAAAATTGGCCCAAAGTACATGTATTAAAGTTTCTGCTGACTAACCCAAATCTAAACCCTCTGTACCATGTTTTTTGCCAAATGAAGAAGTTCCCACATTACAAACAAGTTTAGGCAGGGAATGTATTAGGAGACATATCTAGTTAAAGACAGACCATGACCTTTGACATTTGAACCCCCGAATGAACAGGGTCCTTGAGAGACCCTTGCATGGGATATGTGCATGTGAAGTTTTAAAGAATAAGCAAAAAAAATTGACTTAATGTGCAGAATGGGTTATTAAGTAGTGCTTCACTTTTAAACCCAAAAACGATAACTATGACTCATGGTACAGTGTCAGTGACCTTTGAACCTTCAAACAAAAATAGCGTTCCTAGCCCTCGCATGGGTAATGTTACCGTGTTGTTTATAAGTGTAGGTGTAAACCTACAAAATGACTACAAGTAGCTATAGAAGGACAGAGAAATAGACAGAAGGATTCCAGTATATAATCCTATATCTACTAAACATTGATTCAAATAGATAAAAGGTAGATAAAACCATGTAAAATGGATACATTTGTAATACCAAACGACCAGTGTTTGGTGAACACTATACTAATAACAACAAGTATAAAGGATATACATATATTACAGCACAACAGCAAATTAGGTGGAACAGAAAACCAAGGGTCTATGTATCAGATAATGTTTCATCGTCTTTTGGTGAAATATCATAAAATCTGATAAACATTTTATATAATTGATTATTCACAAATACGACGAATTTTGGTCTTTTTGTTTTAACAATGATTGATCAGCTTTTTATTTCACCAATGTAGTACCATTGGTATGGCAGAACTGAGCGATCACCATATTTAAAAAATTTCAGATAGGTAAATACAAATAACCAAAGTTTCATGTTGAAGGTAAGCTGGCTGGTGTTCATCATCTCACTTACCGAGGATGTCCAGTCTGTCCTGGGCCATCACCATGTTGGTCATCATCTTCTGCTGTAGTCGACGTGCCTTGTCCCAGTGTTCACCTACAACAGCCAATGTTTGTATACAATTATGGACTTTTCCTGAGGTGAATATGTGGTTAACTTAACCTAATAAAGCAGTATTGACCGAGACAAAGTCATAGTTAATATTACTTTTCAAGTTCATATACATTTGTAACCCCATATTCAACAAAGCCTTAATTGTTGTACATGTATGAGAAATGAAAGTAGCTTTTTATTTATCATACAGAAAGATGGAACATATGCATGGAAATGATCAGGAGAAAAGTACTGCATGCTATAGAGAGCATTAATTGTAAGGATACAATTGTAGTGACATCAGAAAAGGAACAGTAACTTGTTGTTTCTAAAAAAAACACCACTATATGTCAATATCACAAATCACTGACCTCCACGTAATTATGATATAACCAATGAGTATATAGAAAAATTGTATTTTATCACATAATGTACTGTGTTATCCAGTGAATATACCCATGTTATAATTTTTGGCGTATTAACCCATGTAATATGACCTATCAGCCCTGTTGATTGGTTGTACAATTAAAGTTTCAGCCCTGTGATTGGTTGTACATGCACAATGTAAGTTTCAATTGTTTCAATTGTGACGTGGTGTGCTTGCCTCCTTGTGATAGCACAGATCTGATGCTGACTTTATAGTGCTATTTCACTGAAAAGCCATGCCGAAGGCAACAAGCACAGCATTCTGAACGGTCAAAATTATGAATGTTAGATCATATATATCAAATATTATCATAATGGGTAGTATGTCTGGTGTTTGCTGGAAGATCAACATCTTGGTAATTGTGATATGTGGTCTACTGATGAGGCAGTCACTTGAATGAAAATTTATTTTTATTTTTACCACACTGAAATGTCAAAAATTCAATAGTTACAATGTCACCAGCCTGTCATGTCAGTGATGTCACCCCTCTAGTTACATCACCCCTCACCTGGTCACACAAGCCACAAGTCTCCTAGCTATGTCAGTGATGTAACCCCCTTTAGCTACATCACCCATCACCTGGTCACACAAGTCGCGAGTCTCCTAGCTATGTCAGCGATGTCACCCCCTCTAGTTCCATCACCCCTCACCTGGTAACACAAGTCAGGAGTATCCTAGTTATGTCAGTGATGTCACCCCCTCTAGTTACGGCACTCCTCACCTGGTCACACAAGCCACAAGGCTCCTAGCTATGTCAGTGATGTAACCCCCTTTAGCTACATCACTCCTCACCTGGTCCCACAAGTCACAAGTCTCCTGGCTATGTCAGTGATGTCACCCCTCTAGTTACATCACCCCTCACCTGGGCACACAAGTCACAAGTCTCCTGGCTATGTCAGTGATGTCACCCCTCTAGTTACATCACCCCTCACCTGGGCACACAAGTCACAAGTCTCCTCGCTATGTCAGTGATGTCACCCCTCTAGTTACATCACCCCTCACCTTGTCACACAAGTCAGGAATCTCCTAGCTATGTCAGTGATGTAACCCCCTTTAGCTACATCACTCCTCACCTGGTAACACAAGTCAGGAGTATCCTAGTTATGTCAGTGATGTCACCCCTCTAGTTACATCACCCCTCACCTTGTCACACAAGTCAGGAATCTCCTAGCTATGTCAGTGATGTCCCCCCTCTAGTTACATCACCCCTCACCTTGTCACACAAGTCAGGAATCTCCTAGCTATGTCAGTGATGTAACCCCCTTTAGCTACATCACCCCTCACCTGGTAACACAAGTCAGGAGTATCCTAGTTATGTCAGTGATGTCACCCCCGCTAGTTACATCACTCCTCACCTGGTAACACAAGTCAGGAGTATCCTAGTTATGTCAGTGATGTCCCCCCTCTAGTTACATCACTCCTCACCTGGTCACACAAGTCGCGAGTCTCCTAGCTCCATTACCATCACAGCATTTATTTACAGGTATCTAACCAAAACCAAACCAGAATTGTTAGTCCTGGAGTCATTCCTTTCTTGTTTGTATAATGCTACTTGTAAATTCTTCCTTTGTAATGTAACTTATGAAATTGTCCTGTATAATGTTACATATTATATATAATTACCTATAACTTCAGGAAATATTCTCTGATGTGAAGCAGCTCTGTACAGAATAAGTCATAATCATGAGAAAACGAAATTGCAATGTGTACTGCATAAATAGGCCAAACTTGCTTTATTTAGATAAATTCAGGCCATCTATTTTGGGAAAATTGGGGGATAGATGTTTAGACTATATAGGGCTATTATCAAGATTTGTCTCATGATTATGACTTATTCTGTACAGAGCGTCTGGATTTACTGCCATGTTTTTCCAAATTTGATGTTTGACATTCTGCTTCACATAAAAGTATTTATATGGTATATGATCTAAAACTTCTGTTATTGTCACATAAAAGAAAACCTAGTGACCCTGCAGTTACAATATGGTCAGTGACTTGGGTCATTCTGTTTCTTGTCTGTCAGCTCATCTTGACCTTGTTACAAATATTTATCACGAATCAAACTCTCTCCATCAAGAACATGTAAATATTTGCCCACTTTCACCTCCCTTGGCAGAGAAGATACCGTTACTAATATGAAAGTCATCAAGGATACCAGCTGGCTTATCACCAGTAGGTGGTGAACATGAAGTGGGAGTGCACCTGTCTGTATTTAAGTTAGAAAACCATGACCAATTCCTATAACATTTGTTCGATAAGTGAAACCCAGCTTGAGCTAGACACACAGTTTGTATTTTCATTAACACCTGGTCGTCTACAAAGACCCGGAAACCAATCAATACAGAGGTCCATAAATACATGTTTAAAAATTAAACATGTCAATAAAACAGGCCAATAAAAGTGATTAGATTAATATATGATGTAGGGTAAAATAACTAGACCTGATATATGTATAGATTTCTATAAATCATAAGGATGCATTTTCTGATGCTTAAAACTTTACTTGGGACTACATACTTTACTTGTAATTTGACCATGCTTCAAAAGGGTACCTAGCATATAGGCTTCCAGAAGGTGTGACTACATTTACCTGTTTTATGTGTGCATATTCAGTGACAACCAATCACAATACTGTTAGTAAAATTCCTATAAGAAGAGTTAAGCTATTAACAGTACTTTATTTACTTTTTTATGTTTTAATTCATGAGGATTCTAATTAGGTTGTGAATATCTAACCATTCACACGCCACTTTAAACAGCATAAGACATTTCCCACATTAGTAACAGCCTGACAGTGTGGTTGGGTGGATTTCCCACATAAGTATATAGGAAACAGCCTGACAGTGTGGTTTGGTGGATTTCCCACATAAGTAACAGCCAGATAGTGTGGTTGGGTGGATTTCCCACATTAGTAACAGCCTGACAGTGTGGTGGGGTGGATTTTCCACATTAGTAACAGCCTGACAGTGTGGTTCGGTGGATTTCCCTCATTAGTAACAGTCTGCCAGTGTGGTTCGGTGGATTTCTCACATTAGTAACAGTCTGACAGTGTGGTTGGGTGGATTTCCCACATAAGTAACAGCCTGACAGTGTGGTTGGGTGGATTTCCCACATTAGTAACAGTCTGACAGTGTGGTTTGGTGGATTTCCCACATTAGTAACAGTCTAACAGTGTGATTGGGTGGATTTCCCACATTAGTAACAGTCTGACAGTGTGGTTGGATGGATTTCCCACATTAGTAACAGTCTGACAGTGTGGTTTGGTGGATTTCCCACATTAGTAACAACCTGACAGTGTGGTCAGGTGGATTTCCCACATTAGTAACAGCCTGACAGTGTGCTTGGGTGGATTTCCCACATTAGTAACAGCCTGAGAGTGTGGTTGGGTGGATTTCCCACATTAGTAACTGCCTGACAGTGTGGTTGGGTGGATTTCCCACATAAGTAACAGTCTGACAGTGTGGTTGGGTGGATTTCCCACATAAGTAACAACCTGACAGTGTGGTCGGGTGGTTTTCCCACATTAGTAACAGCCTGACAGTGTGGTGGGGTGGATTTTCCACATTAGTAACAGCCTGACAGTGTGGTTCGGTGGATTTCCCTCATTAGTAACAGTCTGCCAGTGTGGTTCGGTGGATTTCTCACATTAGTAACAGTCTGACAGTGTGGTTGGGTGAATTTCCCACATTAGTAACAGCCTGACAGTGTGGTCAGGTGGATTTCCCACATTAGTAACAGCCTGACAGTGTGCTTGGGTGGATTTCCCACATTAGTAACAGACTGACAGTGTGGTTGGGTGGATTTCCCACATTAGTAACTGCCTGACAGTGTGGTTGGGTGGATTTCCCACATTAGTAACACCCTGACAGTGTGGTCAGGTGGATTTCCCACATTAGTAACAGCCTGACAGTGTGCTTGGGTGGATTTCCCACATTAGTAACAGACTGACAGTGTGGTTGGGTGGATTTCCCACATTAGTAACTGCCTGACAGTGTGGTTGGGTGGATTTCCCACATAAGTAACAACCTGACAGTGTGGTCGGGTGGATTTCCCACATTAGTAACAGCCTGAGAGTGTGGTTGGGTGGATTTCCCACATTAGTAACTGCCTGACAGTGTGGTTGGGTGGATTTCCCACATTAGTAACTGCCTGACAGTGTGGTTGGGTGGATTTCCCACATTAGTAACAGACTGACAGTGTGGTTGGGTGGATTTCCCACATTAGTAACAACCTGACACTGTGGTCAGGTGGATTTCCCACATTAGTAACAGCCTGACAGTGTGCTTGGGTGGATTTCCCACATTAGTAACAGCCTGACAGTGTGGTCAGGTGGATTTCCCACATTAGTAACAGCCTGACAGTGTGATTGGGTGGATTTTCCACATTAGTAACAGTCTGACAGTGTGGTTTGGTGGATTTCCCACATTAGTAACAGCCTGACAGTGTGCTTGGGTGGATTTCCCACATTAGTAACAGCCTGAGAGTGTGGTTGGGTGGATTTCCCACATTAGTAACTGCCTGACAGTGTGGTTGGGTGGATTTCCCACATTAGTAACAACCTGACAGTGTGGTCAGG